GCCACAGGATCAAACGAATGACCTGATACGAAAGGACCCGCTATATCAAAGGACGCCGAGTGCAATCCCGAACGCCAGTGTGCTCGCCTACGACCCTGGGGTTGCACACACACAGGACAACCCTTAAGATACGGGGAATGATCATTGGCAATATGTCTCTCAAACCTTTCCCGCTCACTCAGCTTACTCAACAGCACTTGTCGCTGAACCACCTCATCCCTCCTTGCTTGCTCCTTCTTCCAAACAAACCAAAACCGCTGGACTACCCTGAGAAAACCTAACGGCCACCCCTCCCTCTGCGCTGAGAGTAAACCTGCCAAGGGCCCCGAACCGAACCGCCCTTGTATCTGCTCAAACAGAAACCACGATGAAGTAATCACACGAATCCTGCGGCCCCGCTCGAAACCGAACCAACTCAAGTCAAGCTCGGCAGCCTGGAACCCGTAACCCTTCTTAAAAGCGCCTAAGCCCTCACAAAGCCCTTTAGGGATGTAATTCGCAGCTCCATCCCTCGCTTCCGGTTGCTCCCAGGCAACAAAAACAGGCGGTGAGACCTCGCTAGACGCACAAGCAGGCTGAACGGATTCCTGCAAACGGTCTTGGGCTCTCGCCAAGGCCCACTCAACTAGTTGGGCAGGTTCAACAATACCTACAGGGGGCTGGTCTAGATCCGAGCTCACTTCAGGGGGCTGTGCACAGCTAAGCCGATGGTCTTTAACAGCCTGCGCCACAGCTATCAGTAGGAAAAACCGAAGGTCAACCAACGCCCGAGCCCACTCCAAATGTTCAGGATTAGGCACCGGTTCCCTGGAGCTCATATCAGCTTTCTCAGGGCTGCCTTCTCCGATAAAACCCCCCAGGAACCCAGACAACGCCCACTTCATCAGACAAGCAAAGACTCTATCGTCCTTCAGTTCGGCTCCTCCTCCAATCAACTTAAGTACCCTACCGCAACCCTTCCAACCTTCACCGGTAAAGGTACGACAAACCAGCAGAGACTCCATGCCTCCCCGTTCAATGGACCGCCTTAATCTACGATTCCAAGGATACCAAACACACCCATCTCCTCTAACCAAATCAGGTTCACTACACGCCTTAGCTAGCAATCCAAGCGGTAAGTGAGGAAACCACGTGCGAAGTACACTCAGCTGGGTCTCGGCAGTGACACCCGAATCCCCCGCCCTTAACTTTGCTTCCAGCCACCCTCGTACGGTACTCCTACTGAGCCCCGATGGGAGAGGATTCTCCTGCACACTCCGTACCCCCCTGGACTGCCGAACATACTCCTCGTAACGCGACAACAACGTTAGCCCCACTTCTCGAGGAATAAGCGGACAACCCTTAACCACCTCAACCTCCAAAGAACCTTCCTTAGGATGCCTAATCCTACAGCCCTTCCTCCTCCAAGCAATCGTGAACCCTAGCTCTATGAGGTAATTCGCGGGAAGAATAACCTGACACTGACCGGCATGCAACAAGGTACCGCACTCATTAACCCGCAGATTCGTACCTCCACTCGCTAAGTCTACACGAATCACTCTGCACCCCTTCAATTCCCCCTCGCTTGCTGGGCGGAGCGCATTTGTCGCCCCGCTGTCCACCAAGCAAAACGATGGGTCGGAGGCGCTTGCAATAGCGGATCTTAGCCAGGTAACATCAACCTCACCATCACCTAGCCTTACAGGCTTCAAGGAAACCCCCTTAAGCAACTTGGCCGCTTCTGCAAGAAGAGCTTCCTGGCTAACCGTCGGACTGGCTCCACTCCCCGAGGAACTAGCATTTCCGGAATCTGCCTTAGGACCCGAATCCTCTGTGACCCCCTTAGCCTGCGCTGCTGGCTTGGGCTTGGCTTTACCCTTCGGCCCACCCTTACCTGGAGCCTTAGGAGAAGTGTCGGAACTGCTATCCCCAGTGGTCTGGCGATTCTCAGGGGCTACAACCGTGCAATCAGGACGGAAGTGTCCTGCCTGTCCACAGGCCAGACACTTTCCTTCACGCCTCGCCCGGGCCCTGTCGTGACGGAAGTGGCACGAATCCCCAAACTTACAACCTGACCCATCCGAGAACTTATGGCACAAAAGCTCCTGAGATTTGCCCTTACCTTTACCTTTACCCTCTGCCCCCGCAGTGGCTGCCGCCGCAACCGTAGCTGCGGGCACCGTGCCCGAATTCCCAGCTGAGTTTCCGGACGCGGAGGGAGGTTTAGGCCCTGGCGGTGATTCTTTGGGTACCGCTAATGCCGCTGCCTTGGCCCGCTTATCGCTAGCACTACCTTCCGCCAGTGCCGCAGCCTCGCTTTCAGCTTGCAAAAGTCGGACCAGTTGCACCACTCCAGTTGTCGTCGGGTTATAGTCTAATGCAATCCGGTGCCTAAATGCGTTCACCCTGAAACTAATCATAGGATTCGTCGCAAGCAACCCCGTTATCGCACCATCAATTCCCTTTAGGAGGAGGGAGGCATCCGGAAGGGTCGCTCGCACTTCCTGGGCACGAACTAAATTCTGTTGCCATCTGCGAAGTCCTGCCAACGCATCTTTAAAGGATTTGAGCGGCTCAGGCTGTACGAGAGTAGTGAGTAAAAGTGCTCGCTCCGACGCACCTCCAGGTTGAAATAGGCATAAAACCCTAAACAAAATCGAGCTAGACGCTAGCCATCTGTTAGTAATCACGTCGTCCCGCACAGCCTGAGGTAACGCCGCGAGCAGCAGAGACACAGCACGACTTTCCACTCTCTGAAACCTTACCGGATCGAACGACGCCACAATCGACGCCGGGTCTAGACTAACCCTGCCCAGCGGGTCAGCTACTAACCACCTAGAATAACCCTGGGAGGCAGCCTCCTCTACACTACTAAACCAAACATCTGCCCCCGGCGATAACCCCAAAAAGATCTGCCTTATCTGAGCCAACCAATTACCACACACGATAGCACTAGTGGCCAAATCCGCCTGAGCAAGCTTAGGGAGTTCAGTTATATAACGGGCCGGCTCTTCAGGCCTACTAGGTCCCCCAATCAAGCTAGGGTTCTCAGTAATCCCTAACCCGGCAGGAACACCCGCGTCCCTAAGACCCCCTGAAAGGCCCGCAAACGAATCCAGACCTCCCGGAAGACCTCCTAATGAAGCCGAAGCTACGGGACCACCGCCAAGTTGTGAGAAACCCAACGGCACACTCCCAACCCCACTGGCTGGAATCCCGGAACCTGAATGAACCCCTACAGCCGGAATCCCTGAACCTGAAGGAACCCCGTAACCCAGGCCAGATACAGGCACCCCGGAGGATCCCATAAGTTCAGCAAACCCCGAACTTCTCCCCAACTGCATCAAGCCTGCACCCGGGAGTGGTGGCGCCGCTGGCGCTGTGGCAGGCGGAAGCGGTGGCGGCCGGATCACTGTCCCGCCAGGGGAAAGAGGGTACCCATTCACATCAAAGCCCGAATTCCCACCCCCAGTGGACCTAGGCGTGTGGAAACCCCCTGTAACCTCCAAGGCTTGAGCGGCAAACTGACGCATGGTCTGGGCTTGAGGTCTAGAATCCTCGATCCCGAGCACCCCGGAACCTTCCGATGGCCTCGCACCTTGATAAGGAACCAACGCAGAGCTTCTTTCCCCTACATCCGCCCCCCAAAACCCTGAAGTCATACCCTCCGGTTTCAATCCAGGAAGGTTCAGAGGCTCCTGAGAACCACCTTGACCCGTCTGAAGATGAAAGGCTTGACCCTGGGAAGCCGGGAAATGGGGCGGCATCATCATCGCCTCGAGCGACGGGGATACCTGTACAGAGGATCCTACCCTTTCCTGCTGACTCACTAAAGAGGAATCATGCACTTTCCCTCCTCCAGCAGCAAAGGAAACAGGTGATGAGGAGGCCACCATCTGCTCACCAGTTGTCCCAGTGTGCCACGAAGAATGTGACCTTTGCTCCGCTTGCTCTAAGCGGCGCTTCAAGCTCCGATTCTCCTCCAGGATTTGCATCAGCATGGCTTCCATGCCTCCCGCATTCCCAGTATCTGGAACCAGCTCATCATCCAGCGTCACTCCCGCTCGGGTCGCCGGTCCTGAAGGAACCATTCCTTCCTTTTCACTTCCACCAAGGCCGGTAGCCATCGTAGTCCTTCCCCCATCAACAGGGGTACCCGGAAAACTCTGATCAGACAAAGGCCCGCGAGGATTCTCGGTCGCTTCCACACGGGCGACCCGTGGTCCCTGTTGCTCCGCGCCAGAAAATGCCGCAGAATAGTCAGGCTCAGCGCACTGCTCGTCCACCCGACTCTCAACAGAAGTCCCAGGTACAGATACCCTAGGATCAGCTCCCTCTCGCAGCCTCTGCCCGTCCTCATCCAGAGACAAGGGACGGTTGCGCAACAGCTGAATCTCTGATTGAACCCGCTCACTATGAAACGGATGCGCCACCAGGAGCGGCTCTGGTCCGGTCACTCCCGCACCTTGACCCATCTCCAACGTGCCTGGTGAGGCCTCGCCCCTCAAACCCGTCGCAGATGTAGAACCATCAGCTCCTGCTTGGCCCAAGGCTGCTTGATAGGCTGCCTCAAACGCAGCTGAATCAGATTCTGGCTCCCCTGTTCCACCGGCCCTCCGACGTCGAGGCACAGTGTCCATTGGACCGGGACTACAGAAACTCGGTATCTTAAAAGTGCTTCGAAGCTTACAGTATGGTGCTCACGCCCTTAAGCTACGCCGCTACGGCTGATAACCTACGTGTAATGCAAACCAAGTATCGCAATGATGCCAAGAACCGTTGGGACAACGCACTGAAACCCTCGGGAACTCGCAATCTTTTTCGAGAAAACAAAAGCAGCCTTCGGTCGAGCATGTGCCGTCCTGTACCTGAGAATGGGCCACCCATCTGCGTCTCTAACCTGCGTCCCTTTGGGCTTCACGCATTTAGGGCTTAGGGTTTAGGGTTTAGGGCTTAGGGTTTAGGGCTTAGGCTTTGGGGTTTAGGGGTATAAAAGCCCAAAAGCCTTAAACCCAACCCAGGCCGATGCCATGGAGGTCGTCGTGGACAGGAACGATGTGCCCACATCCAGGCCGCGTGGAGGGGCCTTGTTCATGCGAGGTTCGGAGTTAACTTAGGGGTACTTAGACATATTTTTTAAGTTTTGGTTCTTATAACCCCTAAGAAACAGCTAAAATCATAACTTTTGCTAGGGTTCTAAGTTCAGTATAGTTAATGTTGAGTATCTAGAATCCTGGCATTCTTCTGGTTGGCTCTTACGACTTTAACTGTTTGGGTTTCTATATGAACCATGATAAGGAGGCCAAAAAGTTTAACTTATTGGAGGGGTTCAGAAGTCAGCCAAGGAATCTAGGGAGGGTTGAATAATCAAAACCCCAAGACCCTGAAACACGATTGGGTTCACTTATTGTGCTTAGTACGGTTTATCTGGAGCTTTAGGGTTTAGGGGTTAGGGTTTCATGAGGGTGATACAGGACTTTATGGTTTCGTCTAAGGGTTCATCAAGATCTTATCAAGGGTTTGATATAGAGGTTATTGGAAGCCGGTTCCGGATTTATAAGTTTGTATAGGTGCCGTTAGGCTGTTAGGGGCCTACATTTAGGCTTGACGGCTTAGGGTTTAGTTTGGGCTGCCAGGGTTTAGGAGCTCAAGGCCTTGAAAAGTCAGGGTTCAGGGTTTGGGAGTCTGAAGAATTACGACTACCATTGCGCAGTTAGGGTTGTTGAGTATCCTGTGTCTAGCATTTTAAAGCCCAAAACCGTATATTCTGGTTCTAGGGTGTATTGCGCTGCGGCAATAGAGTAATAGTAGCTCTGTGGACTAGAGGTATGGTGGGTAGATATAATATGCGGAACATAAACGGACAGCTCCATTAGCCAATTCAGACCGCAGCTGATGGGGCTATATGCGAAACGGGGCTTAATCTGAAACCCTCCAAGATCAAAGCTTAAGACCCTCAACCCTCAAAGCCAAATCCCAGAACCACAGCCAGGCAGAAGTCAAGCAAGCCGGCGCCCACCGCTGGGCCCATCTGCCGCCGCGTGCAGCACGGAGCCTACTCCTACACCCATTACTGCTACTACTCCTACTGCTACTCAGCTACTCCTCCTACTACTACTTCTTCTTCTTCTTCTGCTGCTGCTGTTGCTGCTGCTGTTGAATCTTGATAGCATGCAGCTACGCATAGCATATGCTCGAATGTGACCCCTGAGTTTCTAACACGCATGCCATGCAGCGAGATGGCGGGCTGCAGTAAGCATGTTACAAGCCAGAAAATGGAGCATCAATATTTCCATCCCCATAATGTAAGGTGTGGAGCCTCCCGGCACTAATCATCCTCTTCCCTCAACCACAACTGTTTGGGTCCCCAACAGCGAACGCTGTCCTAATCTTCAAAGCCGGGAGATGCCCCAGAAGAACCGCAAGGGAACCGTCAATGGAACCCTGTCAGACACGCTTTGATATTCAGGGTGGTTGTCTAAATTATGGTCGCTTTTTGGGTCCCACATAGAGTGCGGCACCTAATATTTAAGGTACCCAAGAAGGGGCCCCAATTTTGACAACCACCCATATGTTTATGCAACTAAACGCTATACCCTTATAGGATCCCCATAGATCCCTTTAAAAGGGACCCCCTAAAGGAACTCTTATAACCACCCATGAACCTCCAAGTAGTCAAGTTGAAACGATCGAGGCTCGACCTGCCTTGCGGATCGACGGTTGGCGTCGCCGCCGGGGACTTTCGGGGCCCTGTGGAAGGGGCTGAAGGTTTAGGAGGGTTTAGGGTTTAGGATCTACGGTTTGGGTTTAGGGTCTCTGGTTTGGGTTTACTGCATATCTCTATGGCCTATGCTGCGTTTAGGAGGTGAGTTTAGGGTCTAGGGGTTTTTGTGGATCCCAGAACCTTGTCCAGAAGGGCTTGAAGGTTTCGGGGCGGCCGGGAGGGACCCTGTGCCAGGAGTTGAGGGTTTGGGGACCCTACTGCAAGTTTACGGTATATTCCTTAGCTGAGGGGTTTTGGACGGTCTGGACAAATCAGAGTCAAAGTTGCTTCAACCCCTCGCCGGCCTACTGAGCTCCAGCGTCGGGCTTGAGTTTAAGGTTCTGGGCAGCAGTTGACGGTCTTGTTTTGGGCAAGGGGCTTCAGGTGGGTGGTTGTCAAAATTATGGTCCCTTCTTGGGGTATACTTAGGGTACCCAAAAAGGGACCATAATTTTGACAACTACCCAGGTTTAGAGTCTTGGTTTTGGGGTTTGGGCTTCAGGGTTCTTGGGCTCTAGCGATGATGGAGTCGCAACCGACTGTTGTGTTTACTTCGGGGCCACAGGATCGATCTGACTGGGGCACGACATATTATTCTATGTTATTATGTCATGTACATATATATATATATACACATATGTCTGGTATTGTATTGTTTTATAGTAATGTTATAGTAAAGTATACGATCTCATCTTATACCTTGTTACATTGTACTCTTCCCCGTTTGTATTCATATCATCGTACATTGAACCATCTTGTACGGTACCGTTGCAGGGATTGTCAGGACACTGACACCCTAAATCCTGGAGTCCACTTGTCCAACAACGTTTTCAAGATTGCTTGCGACTGGCATGTATGCCATGACTTAAGACAGTTGCGTTCAACGCCCAGCTCGTTATCCATACATGTCATTCTCGGCTGCACACGTCTGAACAGGACATCCGATACGCATGTACGAGATGTTTTGACTTGAGCCCGATCTGTTGCACTCCTCGTCGATTCATGAAACTGTGACGTGAGGCGATGGATGAGGAGGAGTGGGAGGCCGCATCGGAAGTACAAGTGAGTTTAGCCGGCGATACCACCACAACAATGCGGCTCACATCCTCAGGTACTTTGCTCCTGCCTCCCGGGAGGGATGGCCTAGTGCAGCCAATAGTCCCAATGGGCGCAATCATCGAGCAACTTGGGTATAAATTGGTTTGGTCAGCCGGTAGCTGTATCCTCCTGATGGTAAGTCGTTGAGGCTTAGGGTCAAAAACGGTTGCCCGGAATTGGTTGAGAGCCAGGAGTTGAGCTGCAGCTCCAGCAAGGAAGGTTGGACCCAAACTGGTGGCGTGTTGTTCGCACCTCTGACGGGGTAGTCGTAGGAGGGTTGCTCACTTACGTTGACGACTTTTTGCTTGCAGGCAGTAAAGAGGTGATCGAAGCCTTGGCTACGGCCATCCAGGGCATCTGGAAAACGACGCCTCTCGCACTTGCCACCGCAGAGCACCCGCTGAGGTTTTTAGGGGTTGAAATCCTAGTGCAAGGTTCCGGGTTTGTGTTGTCCCAGCAGGCTTACGCCGAAGAGCTGCTGCGTCTCAACGACGTGAAGCCCACTGCACTAGGTAAGGTCCCCTGTCCGCGTGACCTTGTTTCGTTTGACACTCTCCTGACGGACGAGTCCCCAACCGAGGAGACCGTTCGAACAGCGCAGAGACTGACTGGAGAAATCCTGTGGCTGAGCCAGCGCACCCGGCCTGACTTAGCTTTCACTGCTTGTGTGCTTGCCTCTCTCAGCACGAAGGCGCCGCAACGAGCCATCGACCTTGCCCAGTGGGAACAGCGACGATGCCTGCACACACTCGTGCGCTTGTCAAATGCGGAAGATGCAGTGAGCCTTTCTCTGAGCACTGGGTCCAGGGCCAGGGTCGCATGTGTCTACAGCCCTTAGCTGAGGTTTAACAGCTGAAGAGCATTGAGAGAGTTTGCTCCTCGTGCTTCGAGTTGTACGCCTGCCATGCTTAGGAACATCAAGAATCCCGTGATGGACAAAGATGCGAACCCAAATGCCCCTGCCTTCCAGCCTTTCGTTGCAGGCACAGCAGCCGAGCACGTGTTCTTTTGCGCTCCTCCCTTTGTCAGTCCGTGATGTAGGTTGAAAGTGTAGAGGTTTCGAGTCTTGGGCGTTTTCGATTTGGAGTCACAACCTTACTTTTATCAGCAGCACCTGAACTGGAAAGATACTGTCTTACAAGTATTGTCACTGTGTTTATAAACCCCAGTTTCTAAGTCCCATGAACCTTGAAGTAACCCTAAACCGTAAACCCCGATAGATCCCTTATAGAGCCCTTTAAAAGGAACCCCTCAAGGAACCCTTTAAGGAATCTTGAAGTATCTGTCACAGCAAGGTCTGGGAGCATGCAACTGGCTGCCTGGATGTCGTCGACCAAACAGGCGGCTTCAGGGGCAAGTTTACTTGGAAGGGCAGGGGACGTAGTAAGTAGGTTATAAGTAGAGTGAGATATGGTGGGTTTTGAGCATGGGAAAAGCTTTTGGGGGATGCTGTACTAGACTTTCATATGGACTATAGTCGTACTTGGAAGGGCAAGGGATTGTGTTTGTTTCATCAGGGGTTTACCGTAGTGTAGTGAGGCTGTAAGCCCTAAACCCTAAACCCCAAACCCTGGACCCCAAAACCCTACTTTGAGGGTCGGGGGACTTAGTAAGTAGGTTATAAGTAGAGTTATAAGTACCCTAAATGGAGTTACCCCAATTCTAATCCTACTTACAAACGACTTACTTAGTCCCCTGCCCATCCAAGTAGGCTTTAGGGTTTACTGTAGGTGCATCAATAATTACCTCTACCGTTTTCTTTTTTTTGGGGGGAGGGGGCATAACAATAGTATAATGGGTCCCAAAGGTTTACTGTAGGGGCCTGTAATAATTACCTATACTATTTTGGTGCATTAGAATTTTAGTATAGTGGGCCCATAAACCATATTCTAATTTTTAAGGCTCCTATATTCGGGGTTAGGGGTTGGGGCGTTGGGTTGAGGTGTACAAGGCGTTGGATTCTTAAGCCACTGCGATCATTGGGACACTTTCCGGGATTAGTTTATCTTTTGTAGCCTTGATTGTTTTCGTGTTTCCACTAGATATGGCCGGTTGTGGCTAGCATTGTCGCATTATCGAAAATATGTCATATTGTCTCTGCTGCTGTTGTTGGTTCTAGTTATCTGGTTCCCTTTCGCTTTGGACTATCGGTTGGCTAGTATCGACATTCAGCACCAGCACTCGTGCCCACATGCTTGGTCGAGCTTTGCCATATGGGTGGTTGTCAATATTCGGGTCCCTTTTTGGGTATCCGAAATAATAGGTTATAAGAGGGACGCCAAAAGGGACCATAATATTGACAACCACCCATATTGCTGCAGCTTAGAAGGAGCTTGTCAGGGCTCCATAAAATTGGCTTGAGGAGAGAGCCCTGAACTGTAAGCCCTAAGCTTTAGGAGGCAGCTGCTTCTTCGTCAGACCTCTTTTGTTGGAGGTTTAGGGTTTGGGGCATAATTAGGGTATAGAAGGTTTCTTTGTTTGACTGCTGTGTTAGAGGCCGCTTTCTGCCGTCGGTGCCCTCCGAAAAGATCGCTTCGGCGTCCCGACGAGCGCCAGGGCCTTTGTGTGGGAACTCCGAGCGCTCAGGGGTTACAGTTTACTTCTCTATAGTCTTCTTAAGGTTTTTTGATCATATAAAACCATATTAAAGATATTGTTTTAATATGGTTCTAAGGGGGGTATAGTCTAAGCCCGGACACATAAGATTCGGGACTGTGGCTCCGGAAAGAGCCCTTTCAGGGTGTTCAGGGTTTTGAGCTTTGTGCGGCTGAGGATAGTTTGGGGGTTGGACAATTCACGGTGCAAGGGTGTTAGGCTGTATCCACTTGGTGGCATTAAACTGTGGAGGTGCTGGCCATAGCTGCACGGAACTGAGCAATCCTTGCGCGGTCGGCTCGTAGACCTCGCCATGGCTCACGAGCGGTTTGAGGCATATTGCCTGTCGCACAGTGTGTTTTTACCATACGTCCGCCCTTTAACGACAACCCGGGCGCAAGGAATCGGAATCCGGGAGGTCATGGTGACCGCTTTGCCAGGTAATTATCTGAGGGACTCCGTGCTCAAACCATACCAGCTAAGACCCTGGTGCAAACTCTAAGCCCTGAATTAAGTGCTCTGAGGAGCACCCAAGAACATTGAAGCTAGTTGAACTAGCTTTTCAGAGGCTCCTGCTGCTTTAGCAACACCCGAAGGCTTAAGTATCGATGTTTAGGGCTCACTTGGAGGTTCATGGGTAATTATACGTGGGGTTGTAAGTCCCCTAATAAGGGTTATAAGTATGTTTACCCTACTTTTATCCCCACTTATAACTACCTCCAAGTAAGGATAAAGTTTACAGACGCAGCCATCTGTTCCACAGCTTTCGCCTCGAATCGGGTGCGGCGGATGTTCGAACTTCATGAACGGTTGCTGAAAGTTGGATATCAGAGGTGTCACTTAGGGTTTAGGGAATCAGGGTCTAGGGTAGCTTCGTATAATTACAGGCTTTGTAATTGGTTTCGAGCTCCCTCACTAAGTCTGTCTGTAGTGGTTCATAGATACTTGGAGCTCCACTTACTGGGATACCCAGTAGTACCCTTATTCCCTTTTTGTAGTCCTAGGTTCCTTATAAAGTTACCCAAGACCAGAAAGGGAGCCCTTTTATTCCTAGGTTACTGGGCTTCCTAGACAGTATAGCCTAGTGCATGTAGTATCGTAATTAGTATATAGCACGTAGCACATCGTATATTGTACATCGTAACTACTTTCTGTCTACTTTTTTTGTATAGGGAGAATACTATATATATATATATATATATACATATATATATATATACATCTGTATGCAGTATTGCGCAGTAGAGCGCATTTCACTTTCTTCTGGTGTAAGATGCCACCAACACACATCCCGGTTCCCGTAAACCACCAATATCTCAAACCCAAAGCCCCGCATCCTCATAGACACCTCAAGCGACTCTAGAAACGATCTCCAAGAACAACTCCAGGTTCCATCTCCTCAAACCGGAGCCAGTATACCATCAGTCTGAAGAAGCCCTAAGCCCGAAGATTCCCTAAAACCCAAGAACCGCTTTCCTTAAAGCGATTAACTGAACCATAAAGCAGAAGCCTGAGTTTGACATCCTAAATCCTAAACCCTGAACCCTAAGTAACCCTAAGTCCTGAAATCAAACGCTCATTCCCAGTCGCCACGCACCTGGGCGTGCATGCCCAAGCTCGCGTCCAGCGCTTCGGGTACATGTAGCTTTTGCTCTTAGGGTCTTGCAAAGATTCTGGAGGGTCGGTTTCTTCCTGGTGTTATGCATCGGGCTTCATAGGGTCTTAGAAGTTGTTTTGATGGTGTTCATGTGTTGCTCAATGTTTCCATAAACAATTATATGGGCTTTGAAAGGGGGCTTCCGAGTTTGCAGGGCTGTGGGGGTTTGGGGGTCAAGGATTCACGGGATTCAGGGTTCTTGTTAAGGACTTCAAAGCAACATAAAAGATTAGTATTTTCCCAAACCCTGGTTAGGATGTCGGAAAAAGGTTTTATAGGATTTCAGCATCGTCAGGGCCCAAGCAGCCTTAGCGGATACCAAAAAAGCGCGGTTTAGGGTTTAGGGTTTAGGGTGGCATCGTGGCGGTGTATGCGCAGTGAGTTTCTCACAACAAATGTAATTAGTAGTCTGCGGTCCCCGGTACCTAACTTCTTAGTCATAGCAGGGTCTCGGGAATGAGGGGAAAAGATAGTTTCAGCAACTTCCGGGCCCGACTATAAGTAGGATGATTAGCACCCCGCTGTTCGATTTAAAGAAGCCCTGTTCTACCTGCTCGCGGCTATCTGAAGAGCCAAAATAGCCCAAATCTTGAAAATACTGCCCAAAATCCAAAAGTTCAGAGGAGCCCTGAAGCACCCTAAACCTTAAACCGTTAAATTTGCAGAACCAACGTGACACCTTGAGCCAAGCACCAGCAACTCTACGGGAAGAGGGGGAGGTCGGGTGCAATCATGTCAGCGACGCTACTATGTTATACCATCTTAGGCCTATACTTTTCGATATAAGTATTTTGCCATCTTTGTCGCTGGACCAAATAATTCTATAACATACCGTTCAGACCACGCTGCACTAGTTTTTGCCGTAGTTCTCCAGATTATGTTGTACTACGCTCTGTTATACCACAACATGCGGGCGACGACTCCATCGAGACCGTCACAAGGCTGGAATCCGCGAGACAAGAGACAAAGGCAAAGCACGGAAATAGGCCCTTAAGACCTTTGAAATACCTACAACTATGGGACTCTAAACCGTAAACCATAGATCCCTATAGAGAGTTATGCATATTACAACTGTAGTGGGGCCTATAAGGTATAGATCCTCTCCCTAGTTATAACACCCGGACCCAGTAACACAACCCTAAACCTCTAAACCCCTGAACCCCTGAGCCGTGAACCTCCAAAGTCAAAACCCCAAACGCCCACGATCCTCGGAAATCCCGAATCCGTCCAAGGCTCCTTGCCGCTGGAGTTGTCGGTGCTGGGTTTGACATCAGGCCCCAAGCGCGCAAGAACTCCAAAACGGGGTTTAGGGCTTAAGGGTTTGAGGGTGTAAGGGTTTGGAGGTTGAGGGTTTAAGGGTTTAAGGGCTTTTAGTGTTGAAGGGTTTAGGTGTTGAATTGAGGGTTTAAGGTCTGAAGGCTTCTCTCGTGCTTATGGGCTTACATATGTTGGGATGTGGCATTTACCAAATGCTTTCTAGGGCTTGGGGTCTAGGGTGCAGTGCCTTTATGGCTGTTCCAGGTGTAACTCACCCAGAGGCTCCAAAGTAGTTCCTTCTTGGCATTACCTTATTACAGTATAGGACTCTATATACGAACCCCAAAAAGGAACTACTTTGGGGCCCTAGGGTAAGCTCGAGTAGATATTGTCTTTCCGACGTTGAACTCCCAGACCGGGACGCAGCAGCCGCAATATAGGGAGTAGCTATACTGTTTTTTTTGTGTTTTTTTTTTGGGGGGGGGTCCTTATTATAAGTATACCGTCATAATATATTCCAAAACCCTATTCTATTTGCTAAGGCCCCTACAATAGAAGCCGTAACAAGATCCGTGATTCGCAGGCGTCGACACGAAGGCTTCGGGCGAAGCCAGCGGCAGCAGCCACCTCAGGGGTGGGCTGCAGGGCTTGGAAAGGGTGCACCAGACCTTCCAAAATTCTTCAATAAAGGAGCATGTTAAGAAGAATAGTAGGGTCCATAATATGAGCTAAGGTATATTCCGTATATTCCTGAATTACGGTTTTTTTTTTGAAAGCCTGGGCTGGGTCTGCAGCAACCTCTATGCCTACCATAACCTGCTGTTTCTGAATGTTCTCAGAATTGTACAACAAACCCAAGCACTAAACCCTAAACCCTTAACCGATTAGAGACTTCCTGGATCCCAACATATCCGACACAAAAGGCAGATCCGGGTCTCTGGTTAGAATCCCAAACCTTCCAACACCCAAAAATTGAGGAACACACATGGATTCATATCAGGATTCCTACTATAGTTTAAGGTTCTAATTAAGGGTTTAATATAAGCTGCAGCAAAAACACGTACTTAATTACTATAGCTCCACATTATTGTGACTTACACCCTAAGCTTGTAAGTCGGATACGTAAAGGATCGTGGGACTTGGTAAGGCTATAAGTTATAGGTACCCGTATTATTGGGGTTTATGAGTACTTATATAGTAGGGTTACCTTACTTATAACCCAACTTACTAAGTCCGTAACCCCCTCAACGCCGAAGCCTTTACACTCGAAGCCTGCGTAGCCCACAAGCCCAAACGTCTTGAACATGCTCAAAGCTCTCTAAGGGCTCGTGTTTTAGGGCTTTTGGGCCCGAACACCATACCATATAAGGCTTTTGGGCCATTTTGAGCCTTAGGGTAAGACAAACCACCACCTGGGTTCTTGTTACCAGAACCTTCATAAACTGCTTCTGGATCGCTTACAAAGCGCTTCGATTCTTAGCGAGGTTTCGAGTGGCAGTTCGCTGGCGATTCCGGCTGGTGCAACTTCGCCCTGCTCTTAAAGCTTCTTTGGGTTTAGGGGTTGAGGGACTAGGGGTTTAGGTTTAAGATTTTAGAGCTCACGGGTTTAAGGGTTTAGGGGTTTAAGGATTTCGGGACCTTGTGGCTTGTATAAGGCTTTCGGGCTTTGGGGGGGTTTGGAGTTTTTGAGGGTTGTAGAGGACTTCTTCGAGGGCCTTTTGAATGTAAGGGCTCTAAGAATTAGAGATATTGGTGCCAAGGTTGTGCTTCGGATGTGGAAGGGTCCTGGCGCGTCGTATTCAAGGCTTGATAAGGCTTCAACTGCTTATAACGTTCTGCAGCGGTTTTATCAGGAGCTGCATGGTATAGGGGTTCTATAGGGGCATCATTCGTGGTTCTGCAAACGTTTTAGACGGGTGGTACATGAACAATGCAGGGGCTTTATAGAAGTTTACCCACGGCTCGAATCGAAAAGGCTTTCTGGCATCGGAAACCGTGAACCCTAAACCACAAAACCTTGATTCCTAAGCCCTGAACCCCTTAGCCCCAAAGCCTAAATCTTGCAAGGTTCTCCAAAAGAATCTCTGTCTAAACACATTTAAAGGTTGCTTCGGTGTTCTTAGGCGTTTACAGAGACTGAAGCTTGGGTACGGCCACCACTCAGTAACAGTTGGATAATACTCATAATATAGAGGTATAAGGGCCTTAATAGTAGCCCTATTATAGACTGTTACTGTATGGGGGCCGTACCCAAACTAAACCCCAAGCCCTAAACCCTAAACCCTAAAACCCAAGCCTTAAACCCTCTCAACCCCACGAACCTTCTAAATTGCCCGAGGAGCCTGCGGCATGCAGGCTGTTAGAAGCAGCCCAGCAGCGTGGCGAGGCCTTCATGTCCTAGGACGAACTTGGAGGTTCATGGGTAGTTATAAGTGGGGTTATAAGTCCCCTAATAAGGGTCATAAGTACAGTTACCTTACTTATGATAGCCCTAGTTAGAATAATAATGAACCTCGACCCAGAGTAGGTTTTGAACAGTAAGTGTTCAAGCATTCTCTTGGTTGGCGACCTCCGGTCCTTATTGGGCTATAATATAAAGGTAGAAGTATGGTCTAGTAGGCCTAGAGTAGGCCCTTATTCTTTGTTTTAGGGTTTAGGTCCCGTTATAACACCCTTAAAACCAAAGAGGGCCCCCTTTCGATTTATAGGTCACTCTTGGGTCTAGCTTTAAATCCCATCACCGTAAGCGAGACTAGCATAGGAGCTGGAAAACTGGTACCTTCAGAATTTTCTGGAAGAATAGACCTGAACATACCTCCAAGCCCTATGCTAATGATTAAGGCTATTAAGGCCTTATTGTGGCATATATTGCCTCGCGGCATTGACCTGCACAAAGACACCAGGTTAAATGGGTTGAAAAGAGTCCGTAAGATGCTCCACCAGGTTGTCACGACTAAGACGCGGCATGCCAAGCGAACTTGTCTTGCTCATCTGTTTCGCGTTTAGGGCACGGCGGGGAAATGCTCCAATGGCGACATGATACCCCCAACCTCTCGTCCAGAATCATGCTTTGCATTTAATTGCTGGATAGCGCAAGCCGAGGGGTTATACAACATAAAGGCTTTCTTTATGGGTCGAAAGGGCTAGCAGGCCTAGCGATGCAGACGGTCGTAAAGACTGGACCCTCCTAGTCCAAGCACTCCAGCATGAGCCTCGCTGTCATTTCCACATAATTCGGGTTTAGGGTTCAGGCTTGCCCTCTAGAATCCTAGAGTCCTAGAGGTCTTATGATGTCAGCATGTGTACTTTCGCTTTAGTTAGCCTGAGCGAAGAATCAAGTTTTGCCATCGGGAAGTCGGAAACTCGACAAGAAGGAGCCCGAAGCCGTAAGACTTCTAGACTTTAGCTCTCTAAAGAGCTATGTCGGCACAGGCACTAATGTACGGGCTTAAACTAATACCAACACTATTTGAAGGTTCTTCATCACAATTAGAGAAAAAGGAGCCCCAAAACCCCATTCTAATAATCGAGGCCCCTATATTACACCCGAAGCAGTGGTGACAACACGTAGTGGCAAGTAGGAAACAAAGCTCGATGAAGGCTCCATTCCCCAGTCGTGGCATAAACCCATAACTTCAGGAGGTCCAACATGGGAGTTTCCCAAAACAGGGGACCCTAATATAGTACCCGGAATAGTAGGATCCCAATTATAAGGACCCCAGAATAGGGACCCCTAATTTTCGGAAACTCCAACATCTCGTTTGGGATGGCAGGGTTGGGGGTTGTTGTGTAGTCTAGGTAGGCCTTTGGGACATTTTACATCTTCCCTTATTGTTGGGGTTAATAGGACCCTATTTACGAATATTTTTCAGAGGCTTTAAAGGGCCAACCTAGTATTGCGTTTCCGTGAAGGGTCCCTGGTAGCTCTTGGAAACCAGGTGGTCAACTGAACTGGCCTGAGAAAAATTTGCTACAACCCTAAACCTCATCGTCGTACCCACTGCAGCGCATGAAAAAACACATAGCTCTGCGGTTTGGGGTTTTGGGCTTGTGGTTGTTCAGGAATTTTGGGGTTGAAGGGAATGATCCCGGCGCTTGGCTCGCCAGGCTTTTCCGTCGATCCCAGTCAGGCTAAGATAGGTGACAGGCAAATCAGCTGTGAGAAGTCCCTTTCAATTCGAAATTGTCAGCACGAAACCGTACGCCCTACGTGGATATCCAGTTTTTCTGGAACATCAGGAAACTGATGAGCTTGCAGGAGGGGGCCCTTTGAACACGTAGCTTACGGGCCAAAGGAGGCCGCAGCACTTTAAGTGGATGCGTTTTGACCGGTACCTGCTTCAGTGCTTATTGCAAACGGCCTTTTCTAGAGCCATGGCCGGGTCTGCCACCCACACGCCCACGTTGCGGGAGCGGCTTCTGTCGGAGACGGTCGACACCGCAGGCTTTCTCCGCACAGTTTAGGGTTCACTCCGCACACTCTAGGCTCAAGGGTTTAGTGGTTAGGGTTTAGGGTCAAGAGAAATTAGGCTACTGGTGCCTGGTACTTAGAACAGGATGTTGGGGGATATTCTAGAATGACTTCAAAGGGACGACTAGGTGGGTAGAGGATGGTCAAGTAACGAGAAGTCTGTGACGGGGGTCCATGACAATCAAAATCACCTTCATCACCTTGCTCATGAAAAATCAAGCCCCAACCCTTATCTAGATCTTTAGCTTAGCTGAGGACGGTGACTGCGTGTGTCCTTCATTGGACAAGCATGTACACTACAAAGCCCTCGTTGCCAATCTCCAAAGCTGAAACCCTAAACCCGAACACGTTATGTCGATCAGGGCATGCCAGGGTTTGAAGAGGCCGTGCAGTGGTTTCTGAAGTACGGAACCCAGAACCATATCTTGTTCAAGGTGTTACCACAGAGGGTGTTACAGGGGATTCTTTCAGGCTTTACGCCTTACTGCTCTTAGGAACTGTGTTTATTTTTATCATGACTAACTCCAGGGGATTAATGAGGACATTGTTCTTTATTTTGGCTCTAAGGGCGGATAAGTACAAGGGTTTCATTAAAGACATGTTGAAGCCGACAATACAGTTCTCTGCACAACGCGAATTCCAAAGGCATTGGACCTTCACTCCTTGCAGCAGCTCTTTCAATATGCACACCACATTGTAGACCCTGAGTGCTGGGATGATTGCTATACGTTTCTTGATTAAAGAGTTAAAACTAGTAACACGACAACTCTGCGTTTAGACGTTGGGGTTCGCTGATCCAACAAGGGAGTCCCTGTCAGAATAGTAGGCTTCATGTTACAGCCTCGTGCTCGGAGCAGCAACCTAGACCAGAAAGCAGGCCAAAAACCCGTGATGCTAGAATACCTACCTGTAGAGAGAGTTGCATCCATTCAACACCTCATGCTCTGTCAAGCCTTAAAGAGCCCTTACAAGAAGCACATTCCAGCTATTGAGACCCCTATACTACACCCTCATAGTAGCCCCTAGAGTGACCCTTACAAAGACCCTTTATAAAAGCCCTTTAAAGGAACCCTACTCTACCCCTATACTACACCCTCATAGGGTTCTATAGTGGCCCTTATGGACCCTTTATAAAAGCCCTTAAAATTTAAAGGAACCCTACTCTACCCCGATACTACTTGCTTCGCCTTCTTGTGGCCCAGATCTCGGAGAGCTCCAGGGACTTGGCAGCCGAGCGACTTCTTTCTATGTGCCTTGGGATGAAAACACCCGGGGACCGGAGGCTCCAAAACCATTGAAATAACTACCCCCAAAAAATACAAACTATATTCCTTATGGGGGTAATATAGGGATTATTATTTTTTATTTTTTGGGGGTTTCTTAAGCAAATAGTAGATAAGGAGTATGCTTTATACCTTAAGTTCCATAGATAATATCCGGGCCTCCTATTAGAAGTTAAAGCATATTCCCTCATGAAGATTCCCTCATGAAGTGGTTTTGGGGTCTCTGGGTATCGGAGCCCGAATAGCAAGAACATTGTTCTACGGTGCTTGTTCGTGGTTGCTAAAGGGGCTTGTAGGACGCGACATGGATTTACAATTGTGTTTCCCGTTATGCCGTGGGTATATTAGACAGGCCCTTGAACACAGAACAGTGCGTATCTAGCGGTTCTATGTGTTACACAGGTGCCTTACGAACTACATCTCCGCGTCTCGGGACGGAAAACAGCGGTTCAGACATGATACACGATTTAAAGCCTTGTTGAGGCCTTCTGCATTTTCAGACTCGAGGCGAGGCCTCCACAGTCCTCTAGCGGCCGAAGCACTTTGGCTGGTTGTCAAAATTAGGGTCCCGTTTTGGGTCCCTATTATAATACGGCACCTAATATTTAGGGTACCCAAAAAGCGGTCCTAATTTTGACAACCACCCCCTTAGTGGTAGAGTAGGTAGGGTGATTTATAGGGTCCAGAGGGGCTTAGGAGGTCGAGCTCCCTGCAGGTGGTGATGGCAGTCCTAAGAACAACAAGAACCATGGTACAGTAATAGGTAATGAGTAATACTAGCACTAGTGTTGATGATATAAATCCTGCATTACCGTAAGGACCCTAAACTATGGGATTTATGGTATATTCCTTATTATGGGTACTGCAGGATTTATATCCTCAACTGCGAACGGACTGCGATGCCTTGTTAAGTTCCAAGGTGTCACTATAAGAGCTGTGAGCAAGACCGTGTAAAGTGCAAGGGAAGGGGGCACGCTACGCGTCCCTCGTCTCTAGGAGTAGGCTTGTGGTAGTGCTACGCACACCGCAATGCCTATCCATCCTTTCAGTGTGACCGCCCATGCAACGTTTGGCTCAAGAATGAGCATAAGCTCTAGAAAGCATTGCCCATAGCTAAAGTGCTATAATCTTTGTGATCCTCCGAGTAGACAGAGCTATCCCGTGCACAGACGATCCACCGCCGGCCGTGAGTGTGCAAAAGGAGCGAACGTTGGATCTGCCTGCATAGGAGCGCACGTGTGTAAGTGGAAGTCACGGTGATCCAGCTTGTAGAAGGCAACCACGCCAACAGTCAATACAGCTCTTTGTGGGGTGAGCGATACAGAGCATTACCAGGATCAAATCCCCACGCAGGTTATCAGCCGTACGCGGCTCTGCCTTTCTGCAGCAAGGACTACTTGATCTACTACGACCACAATGAACTCGGGATCAAGTCAAGATACGACAATGACTTTCGGTGCCGATGTGGCAGCGCCAGCCGTTGGTGAGTCAACAGCTGACGACACAGTGGTGCAATCCGTTGATAGCTCCACGGAAGACGACAAAGGTCAATCTTCTGCGCTTGCCACTGCAAAGGCAGTTCCCAAAGTGAAAGCAAAGAGTCTACCAAGAGCATCTACGCCTTCGCGTCCGACATCCACAGGTTCG